TGAGCTTGTAGCCTGAGCCCGCGCAAAACTGTTGTGATAGCGCCGGCGCCTGTGGCGCGGGCGCCAAGCGTTTTCGCTCTAAACCGGTGTATATTCGTGTTCTACGGGTCAAATTACCCCTGAAGGCAAGTTTCTAGCCAAATCCACAGTCATGGACGAATTTCGATCAAAATCTGGCTCAGTTCATAAGGAGTAGGGCAGTAACCTCAGTGGTCCTGCCGCGATGGCTGGAGCACAGACGATTAGAGAACGGGTGAATGCCCTAGGACTAAGCCTTGGAGAGGAGAGGGACCCGCGAGAGAGCGCAGAGGGGTTTGAAGGGCTGAGTTCAAGTAGTCCGTGGACCCAGTAAAGGGTAAATAGTGCCGATCTCAGATTCGTGATCAGCACATTGAAGTACTCCTGCAAACGAACTTTCAGCCCAAAAACCTTTGTGTCCTTTTTGAGCTCCACCAAAGCGAGCACTTGGGGTTGTAATTGTTGAATAGTACCAAAAAAACTCGAACCTTTCTCGAACTTTTCCTTCAGCTGAGCCTCATTTGGTAGGTCGGCATCGGTGGGAACATGGATGAGAGTATAACAGGGCAACTCTCCCGAACTCATCTGGCTGTGAGTCCTTGGGGACCTGAATTCTATTTTTACAGGTGTTCACATGTTTAAATCATCTTCACATTCACCACCTAGTCGCGAGAAAACTTCAACTACAGGCCCACAACTAATATGTCACCTATTATCGAATCAAAGCATAGTGTACCAATTGTATTCCTTCAAGTAAACGTTAGGCATCCCATATCACCGAGTGATTTTTGAGACTTTTTGATCTACTAACGATCAACGTCCCATACAAACAAAGTACGGATAGAGATACTTCCCGTCATACATTGCCTAAACCAACAAGTTCGACAGAAAGAGATGGAAAACCAACTTGCTCAAGAATATGGAAATAGCGAAGAAACCGTGCTGCTACGTGGAGAGGACCGCTGCTGTGAGCGCAAATCAGGTGCTTCCGCGTAGGACCGCATTATTTTTTGCTTCAAAAATTTGATCGGCTTCGTTGCCACATCCGTCCTGTTGCTCTGCGGGAGTCGCCTCATGTAAGTGTGTTTGTGCTTTTTTGCTTATAAAGAAGATTCAGTTGTTTGTGCTACTTCAACAGCTTCCGCCCTTCGCTTAGCTTTAGAGGTGTGCGGTTTCTGCAATTAGTCACTTTTATTCGAGGTTACGATGTGTGCTAAGATTGCAGCTAGATGTTAAACATTGTAATGGGTTTGTTATTGGCTTGTCAGATGAAGTAGTGGTTTTATTACCTGCTCTTTTTTCTTTTATCAAGAAAGGGTTTTGTACACCGGGATTTCGTAACGAATAGTCGTCTGCACTTTCGAGCGTCCGCATTCTAATTTTGTAGAAGGTCAATGCCAGACAAAAGATAGGGCTCAGATTTTCTACCTCTCCCAATCGCAGTTCCCAGTGCCCATTTGCTAGAATGTTCTAAGTGAAAATTGTGTGGAGCTGCAGTAGTGCAAATGCAAAAATAGCCGAAGTGCTTTTCGATCCCAATTATGACAATTTTGAATTTAAAATGATCAGTGTTATCATGGTGGGGTTTGTCATGGTTTGGAGGTCCTTTTCGCACATTGCATCTCCTCCCCACACCGAAATTCCCCCTTCTACGCTGCCACTAAAATGACTTAAACTGCATTGTCGATCAGATTTTAGTCTTAAAAGGCTTTATGTTAAACAAGAGCGAGTTGCATTGGTGCTTGTACAGGTGTAATAGTACTGGTGTGCGGCTAATGCGAAGAAGAAGTGGGTAATAGCGGTGTGGTTCACTAGGACTTAAAGCGACTTTTCGCGTTTCGCAGCGTACATTTCGCACCGCAGGAACCTCGAGTTCGCAGACGATCAGCGGTGAACCTGGCGGTTTCCCGCGGACACGAAAAAGTGTTTCCGCGCTGTGAAACGCGGAAAAGTCGCGCTTTCGGTCCTAGTGGACCACACCCGGGTAATAGTTATGGAGTAAATTACAGTTGCGCGGCCAAACACAGTGATAACGCATTTATTTGTTTATTTGCAGCTTCAAACTTGGCGATGGGGTCACGTCATGAAAGGAGAAACAAACAGCGCAGGAGAAGGAGACTCGTCGGTTACGATTACTGAAGGAAGGAGAGTGGGCATGCCCGGATCCTAAGTGTGCTCATGTGAATTATGAATTCAAAAATGCCTGCGATGCTTGTGGAAGACGTGAGTTCATCCATGTTTTCTGGCATTCGCAGCTTTTGATTGCTTCCAATTCCGCAAATCTGTGGAAGTAAATTTAACGTTATTCTTCTATTTGTTCATTTCACGACACCTCCTTGTCTATACAGGATCCTAGAGTCAGAAGTAGGATAGAATTTAATCTCATAGTTGAAAGGACTTTCTACTGCAGAGAAACCTCGATCGAAAAATCGGGTCGGAAAGGAGATTGGCAAGGAAATGGCCGACAAATCCAAAGGGCTTTTTGCTGCGGAAGATTGGGTGTGTTCCAAGTGAGTTTCAAGAGCAGCTATTATTGCGCTTATGTTGAAAAGCTCATGTTGCTTTCGCTATTATCGACAGATGTGGCAACGTCAACTGGGCAAGGCGGAAAACTTGCAACGTTTGCAATGCTCCCAAGCTTGCCGACCTTGAAAAGAGAACAGGTGCGTTGAACTGGCTTTGCCTTCGTTCTTACTCATTTTTAAGCTCATTCTGTTACGTTTGTTAATATTTTTCAATTGTTTTTACGCGTCAAATCTTCTATTCTGTTTGGAATTTGTTTTGGCATGATATTTATCTCAAAGACGTTTTACCTCTGTCTGAATTTCGTTGTATTGTGTGGCCGTTTAGGTTATGGTGGTGGATTCAATGATCGACAAGATATTGAGTATATCAGGCGAGATACTGAGGATGAGTTTGACGAATTTGGTAGAAAGAGGAAGAAAAAGGATGATGTACGGGTATATTACCGCCCCGCCACCATCGCTTGTGAACTAGCGAAATATTTTCTTTCAGCAAAGTGCTGCTCCTGCAGATCAGGCAAACGAACCAAAAATCATAGACGAAACGGTGGATGAGGAAGATGAAGAAGAGGGCGAGATCGACAAGTACAAGTTGGGGAGTGATGCAGAGGAAGAGGTGGGTTGGAGGTAAGACCAGCAAACCAACACCAGTCATGCAAAATGTTCGGCCTGCTTACTCTTCGTTTCATCGCGACGCTTTCTAACATCTTGGGGATAGTGCCGTTGCCTAATTTTTCTTGTATTTCTGGGTTTGCAAAGGATGCACTTGCGATCAGCAGAGTTTTTCATCCCATTACTTGCTAGGCGTGAAAATCGATGGCATTGAATTACCATTTCGCGCCGTTTGAATTCTCCAAAACGTCGTGTTGCGTCGAAGTGTGCGTTAGTGCTGGCGCTTTTAGTTCAGCTATATTTTATTTCATTTTCTAGGAGGAGTCAGAAGACGAGATTGATGAAGCAGTGTTGGAAAAGTATGATTTGACTGCTGATCCTGAAATAGCTGAGATAAAGATTGAAATCAAACGTCCGCCTCCACGTCCAGCTGATGCTGAAAGCGAGTGGGTTTTGTATCAATACGCAGTCTGTTATTTTTGTTATCTGTACTGCTCCTTAACTAGTTCCTTCCTATATCCGAGAAGTTTCTAATTTGTCGAAATGTAAAAAGTTCAAAGGTGTAGCAGTTATCAGAAATCTTGTAAGAACTGTACCTCTCAAACAAATTTTCACTCCTCTTTTGGCATTACTAGGCCGCTTTGTAGAGTTTTTCCAGTGTGCCTTCGGTGTCTCGGAAAGGATCACGTGGGCCCTTCCTCAGTATTGCCGTTGTTTCACGCGTACATATACGTGCTTTTAGTTGATTTGCATAGCACATGTCTGTATGGTCGACGGACTACTTGAACCCGACCCTTCTCTAATCGTCTGTGCTCCAGCCATCGCGGTAGGACCATTGAGAAAAAATCAAGTAGTCCGTAAACCCATGGGCGGTATTCAATCCTTCCCCCAGGGGGATATATCCCCCTACTCTGATTCAATCCTCTGGGGGGACAAAAAAGGGTTGCGTCATAGGACCTAGCATACCTCTGTGTTTCTACCTGCCAGACAGTTAGAGCAGCGCGACCCCTCAGGGAAAGAGTGCTTCATCAGTGGAGGGTAGTAGCGCTGCTCTAACTGTCTGGCAGGTAGAAACACAGAGGTATGCTAGGTCCTATGACGCAACCCTTTTTTGTCCCCCCAGAGGATTGAATCAGAGTAGGGGGACATATCCCTGGGGAAAATTGAATCGGCGCCATACCTGGGGAATCTTGGAAAGCAAGTTTTCCTATCCGCGTTTATTTATGCCTGATGATCACTGCACCTGAGTAACAAAGAAGTCACAGTTCATGTACAGCTGCATAGGTTCACTGATGAATATTCACAATCTATCATTTTTTACGATAATAATAGATATATTTGTTTTTCGTTGTAGAAGGATGCATTCTGTCAGATCGATTTTTTTTTATTTTTTTTTTCACGTCACATTCGCTTACCTTTTTCTTTAGTTGCTCCTGTTCCTGTTCCGGAGGAGAGTGTTCATGTGAAGATAGCGACCGTGAAAAGAAAGATGCGGATAAGGATTCTGAGAGTGCTCGTGACAAAGTGCATAAATCCTCTCGTCAGAGAGATCTGTGAGTTTCATCATCCATGGACTTCATCATCCACCACTGACGTTTTATTTCAGTCATTTGGTAATTCTTACATTTTTTCCCAGAGATCGAGGTGAACGAGAACGAAGCCGTAAAAGGAGCTGGTCCCGGAGAAAGAGATGATGACAAAAGGACGTGTGAGGGACAGAGACAGGCATCGAGATTCCGATCGCAAGAATATAGCAATCTTGGAATCGCGGACAGGATTAGAAGATCGGAAGGAAGAAACTCAGGTATTTCGAATCTATGTTCACACACATCGTACATCTCGACGTTTCCATCTAGGTCTTCGAGATACGGAAAAAAGAGACCGTTCAGTTCGTTCTCGTGAAAGGAAGACAGAGAGTCGGAAAAAGGTACGCACATGTTTTTTCTCAACGTTTTTTTTCTTCTTATGGCTATCGGTTGTCTTTATTAGAAAGAAAGTCAGATATAGTTAAAGAGTTTATTTCACTAGTCTTTGAAAATTCTCTCCTCGAAATGTGATTCTTTTTATCAAATGAATTGTAGCTCGTTTGGTATTGCAGCGTGTTTTGTGAGCGCGATATCCCTATTACATATAAAGCTCCAAGTCACTGTCGATGTGTGCGTCTTTTTGTGCAAGCAAAATTGCGTTACTACTGAATACGCACTGCTGATGACCTTATCAGGATTGGGATGGGTGGAGCATAGGATGGATGCACGCAGTGAATGCCACCCATAACGGGTAGGACATATACCAAGATTTATGGAGCCGACGGCAAAAAATCTTGTATTTGATTTGAAACAGTGTAGAGACTGGAATTGGGTCGCAGATCAGGATCAGGGGAGTCGTCGAGGAAATTTTGGAAATATGACCCTCCCCCTCCCTCGGAGGCCGAAGTCCATAAAACGACCCTCTCCAAAAGCCGAACTATGAAGAGTTCTAATTTCCACCTTAACACACATTGACGACAACGCGGGGATATATATCCCGCGCATTGCAGGCCATGTCGGACCGTGCGGGATATATATCCCCCGCACCCATTACACTCATTTTTTTCGCGCACATGCCTGATTCTTTTAGAAGTTTCTTGTATTCATTCCATGGAAGAGACCTTGACGTAGCTACAAACATAGTGGCCCTTAGAATGGTCACGTACTTTAATTTAGAGGAGGATTTCTGAACCATACGAAATCTTCATTTCAATAAATTTTTCGTTTACTTTCTCTTTTTATTAATATGAAGATTTAAAAAGTAGTAGAAGTAGATAAGGAACTTAGGGATGACAACATGTGTGTTTTGATTGGAATAATCAACGTAAAATTACTTTTAAGGTCCATTGCAGCTAGTTCTGAAAAATTTCGCTTTTTCATTGTTATTCCATGTCTTTGATCAAAATTCCACTACTGTACCCCTGGGTAGGTTGCGCTCATTACAATTTACTGATTTGGTTTTGAATTGGTCATTAGTTGTGTATTTATCACTCAAAATCTGCTTGAACGACCTGAGGCGAGCGCGCCCGCAAAATCGCCGCGGTCCCACGTGGCCAAAAAAGCCAAAACTCGCATTGTCGTCAATGTGTTAAACTATTCATAGAAAGCTACTGCATACCCAGTCGTCCCTACCACACAAAATTTGTTCGATATGAAAGTCAAAAGGATGATTAATTTCCTGATGAGGTCTAACACCGAAACGAGTAAACGAGAAACGGAGCAAAAAAACGACAAACTAGCCACTTAAAATGGCCTGCTATGGCAAAATCTCCTCTTTATTTATTTCCTTCTCAAAACTTACTAAATTGTTGTCACTAACGGAGAGATGTTTTACAATTTACAAAGCCTCCCTTTCGCATTGGAATAAGCCTTGTATTCCGCCCCATAGCCAGCTGGGTGTTGATGGATCGTTTGCATTGGCCTTGGAGCAACTTATCTACTACTATTGAAATTTGAACAAATATTCAAATGATTATAACTTTCTTCAAATATGACGAATTTTCAATCTGAAAGCAGATTTGGGAGTTTTGTGAAGAGCTTCTTTCTAATCAGTACTGAAATTACAAAAAGTTATAAGAAATAACAAATTTAGATCAATTAACGAGGAAAATTCATGATGAGCACGAGTTTTTACACTTTCCGAAGCCATAACTTGCTTCATTTTCGTCAAATTTGAAAAGTTAATATGGCAGACAAAACTAGAAGATTTTCTCTATCAAACCGTGCTAAAGCAGCTTCATACGTCCAGTACTCAAAAAATGGCCACGTTGAGGATTTTTGCAAAATTAACGAGGAAAATTCGTGATGAGTGCGAGTTTTTACGCTTTCCAAAGCCATAACTCCGTTCAAACTCATGCAATCTGGAAAGTTAATACGTCATCATAAACTAGAAGATTTGCTCTTTCAATGGCAACTAAAACTGCTAAATACGTTCACTATTTAAAAAATGGTCACGTTGACGATTTTCGCCCGAATACCGCCGATAGGTTCTTTTTCGCTGCTGTGGCACTATTTCAACGGCTATAGCTCCTTGGCAATTGCATGCAAAAGTGAGAGCAGATTTGAAATCATCGAGCATTTTTTCCAAAAGTGTAAAAGTGTTCGGCGAGTCTCAAATTTAACAACTTATGTTCCATGAATTTGACGCTGAAGGCTGCATTTCTTGTTGAATAGTGGACTCCTCCCTGTAATTTCGCACGGACCCTTTCAGAATCCTCTTGATTTTTCCTGAATCGAGATTTTTTTCTCCAGAGAGCCGTAGTTGAAGCGCGCGCAACTAACTGGGCCGCGCTTTGGCTTCAATCCTTTAACACGTTGACGACAACGCGCGTTTTGGGTTTTTGCGCCGCGTGGGACCACGGCGATTTTGCAGGCGCCGCCGCCTCACATCAAATCCGTGAATTTTGAGCTTTAAATACCCAAAACTCGGATGCAACAAAATGTTAGAATGATATTCGATGTGTCAAACTTATCAGAAGGGACAACTGTAAAAAATCGATCGAATTGACGTTTTCTGGCGATGAAAGGCAAGTTTCAGTTGCTTTTGCTGCAGTGAACCTCAAAATTATTTTTGACGCGGTTGCTCCACTAAAAACATATGTCTTGCTATATGTGTGGGTCTGTACTTACTTCTACTGCTCTTTTTTATGACCAAGATTATCAGAATATAAAGGAAACTAGGAATGAACACAATTGGGAAATTCGTAGGGCTTAGAAAACCTTCGCTAAAAAGGAGCATATTCAACCATTCAATGAACCTCGCCGTGTCTAGTCATATTATGGTGTAGTCTATGGAATAGATGCAAAAAAATTAGAAAAGAAGTAGCGCATGCGCGAAAAAAATAAATATTTTGTGTGTGCAGCGCATGCGCTGCACACGGTCCCACACGGTGCTCAAGGTGTGATGCGCATGCGCTGCACAATGTCGTCAACGTGTTAACACATTGCGTACCGCGTGCGCCACCATGTGGCGCACGATTCCGCTTGAAACAGCATAGTATGATCTGATTTATTGGTCACATTTTCAATGCTCCTGAACTGTTTCCACTCATTGTTCAGACCTCGAAACCATACATGTCATCACTGATAAAACTGTTGGTAGATTAATGATGATACAGTTTTTGAAAAATATAAAAAAGATACAAAGGTACTCATACAACGGCGGTCCGCAATGTGTTAAAATTCGAGACTCACGTGAAAGATAAAGTCTCCGTCTCCGCGGGAAGGTTACATGCTATTTGGCTGATGCGTGCACATGCCGAATATGACAAAGTTGGCAAAGGAACCCAGCAGTTGGGCGAATCCAGAGCAGATCAAATACTATTGCTCCATTGAAACGAGCGGTGCTAAATTTCTGAATCGCATCAGGGATCAAACTGGCTGTGACCAGAAAAGCGATTGAAAGCCAGACAAGGAAGAGAATTCAAATGGTGATGTTATATAATGAGCGATAATTGAAAAACAATTTAGCCAGACACAATTTTTAGCTCCTGGCTTTACTTTGAAGAAAGAAAAATGAGCACCCACAAAGTATTTCCGGCCAGACGCAGTTTTTGGGTCCAGAACAGATCCACAGAAGAACAGCACCGCATCGAAAAAGCAAACTTGCTGCTACTAGGGCTGCCGTGGCCTCCACTTTCGTTCTGTACGTTCTGTTAATCGAACCCAAGGACGTCCTGACAGACTGCATTTTTTGAGCACCCTCACCATGCTGAAGGGAGCACCTCACATGCGAGAGAGACTCTTTTCGCGTAATTTCTCAGATAACTTTGTAGTGGACCACAATCGGTCTAGGACCTCGTGGAGCTCGAACAATTATGCTTCTGTGGAAAATTCATTTGATATCGTCCATGCAGAAAGGTGCTTCGAAGTTTAGTTTTGAGTGTGCTCTTCAATTTTCAGTTGGAACTATTCGGTTTGAAGCCAGCAAAGTGTGATTAGTTTCTTCATGTGGGGGAAGAGTGACTTTTCTTATTGCCTCTTCCCCTGTATTGCTGGAGTATCGTGAGGATATCAGCGTGAGCAAGTCCCGCTGTATGGATCTAAAGCAACTTGGCGCAACCACGCCGTTCCTAGTGCCGCAGCACCACGTGTTGCTGAAAAAACCAATCCATAAGCAGATAGCCACAGAAGGGGGAGTGTAGTGATGATCAATTCTTAACGGCGCCATGAGGTTAAAATGCTATTCCTGTCCGACTTGATCCCTGCAATCCTACGCGAACTACGCACAGCGAATCTGCCGATGAGCTTGCGTAAGCATTTTCTGTAGGATACTCTCTTCTGTATTTCAATTTTTTTTTATCAATACTCTCCAGAATTTGTCATTGTTGCAATCAGGAAGAGTATAAGGTCACTGCTTGGCGAACATTTGCGGAGTATTCTAAAGTCGCTTCAGCTGTCTGGTGGTTTTGGTTGCCTTTTTTTCCCAAAGGAATGGGATCACTGAGTCAGATTTAAAATTGTTTTCTAAGGAATTTCATATATTTGACATATCTTTGTTATAATCCTCGGCATCAAAACCCTCGTGTGGGACGGCTTGTTATGCGAATAGCGCCGCGTAAATAAGTCGTAATGAGAAAACCATAAAATGAATTAATAAAAACAATGTGATTTAGTTTTATCCAGCAGGGTAGTTGGTTAGTCCAAGATGTTCAATTTCCTCTCCAGAAATTAATACAATTTTACAGCTTTCAGGATATGATCTTCGAAGATCGGCGCAGGTAACCTTCTCCAAATCATGCCCAGGAAGTTTTCAAATGCAAAAACTTTGGTTCGCTTTGAGAAATGTTTGTTCTGTTTGTTATCTGTAATGCCTCGGTGGATTGTTTCTGAAATGTTGCTATGTTCGTTCAAGTTGCTGACACTGCTTCGTCTTGAAGAATCATTTTTCATTATGGTTTTTTGTTCTTCGTGATAATTTTGTTGTGTTAACAAATTTTGAAGAGATACGGTGTTGGAGAATGACGAATGATTGTTTTATCAATCTACCTTGTTATCTGAAGATTATTCATTATCTGTTGGTTATTCGTAGCTGGTTGGTGCACAACTGTGTTTCCGTTTAGGTGAGAACCAATGGCCAATCTCGAGTTCCACCGTAAGTTTTCTTATACCTCATAGCACTTTTCGCTGAGTCTGAGCCTGAACTTTGAACCTCTGCTACTTCTTGAAATTTTACTTATGTTCTCTCGCTTCAGCATTCCAAGATGGCTTCTCTATCAATTCCACGAATACACAGGGATTTACTGGAAGTATTGGAGATCAGAATCGGGTTCGTCTCAGATTTGTAATTATCGTGTTTTGTTCTTACTCCGAAATTTTTGTTTGGGTGTAGTTTTTTTTCTTGAAATGATTTTGCATACAAGAGTATTCAAGGTATCATCCTTTAGCGCGTCGTTTACCAACGTACCATTAACTACTGATGGAAAATAATTCATCTGAAGCGCAATAAAACACTCGTTTGGCTGGCGCACGACACCGCGCACATAATACGATGCCATTTATGAAGCTAGATACAGGCAACATTCACTTCAGCTCACTACGATCGCTCAAAGTCACCGTTGTTTTCGTGTGCCCGAGTATTTTTGGATCCCTCTATATCGTTCTTTTGTTCAGTTTTTAGCCGGTCTTGGGATTACTTCCAACATGCTTCAATACAGTAATTGTTATGGGGTATTTGCTTACGGCTAGAAGGCTTCTGTCTTTTGCTCCAGAACCGTCGCTCATATCTATCTGCTAACCTTCTTTCTCCTAATCTCTAAGCTCTCCTGAAACCTCCGGCTTTTTTGATTTATGGTCGGGGATTGCCCCTTCAACGCACGTCATGACGGCATCCCATGCTCTCTAGATGAAACGTGTATCTCAGCCAGAGTTCTAGCCTCTCCTTCTTTCCCCTCAAGTTTGGATGGGATTAGCC